AAATCAATTAAATTAAATTAAAAATAAAGGCTATCCAATGCTTCAGTTGTGCTTATGGGAAGAAATTTTATCTTAATTAGCTTATAATCCAACAAAACACATACTTCTGGAGTTGATTGCAGATAACAAAGGTGGTAATGCCTATGTTGTCTCACAGAATGGAACAGATATTATGCCCAAGAAGTGCAGCAACTCGTGAAGGAACTGCATGAACTTGAACGTATTTTCCCTAGAATTGCATCCGTGCGAACAGGAGAAATTTACATCAAAGCCACGTGATCAATCTTCAGTTTTATCTAATGTACCCCTCCACGGATACGTTATAGTCCTACACAATGTAATTCCAGAAAATACGAACGTACCTTTCACTCTACGATTGCACTGCAGATCGCTGTTAGAAAGGCGAGTAAAGGAAGATGTCATTTCCTCATAATTGCTGATGAACATGAAACCATTCTTATTGGTGCAATCTAAATTGTCGTATTTTTGAATAATTGGATGGAATTTGAGCAAAAGGAATAATCATTTTTTCGAAAGGAAAACAAAACATATTCCGTAATTACTGCAAAACATGAACTTCCTGGTTTCAGATTCCAAAGATGCATATACTTTCCAATTAATCTTGCGGAAATGTTTATTTTCTCAGAGGCGCAGTTTTTAAACATACATGCAAGTTCAGTTCCAACATTTGAAAAATTTAAATTGCTCTACATTATTCATAGATGTAGTCACCGGGGCCCAGGGGGAGGCCTCCCTTCCCAATTTTGAAGGAGGCATGAGTACCCCCACAACAGTTTTTCTGGACGGAATAGCATATCATTGCGAAAATGTAGGTTATTTGAGCGAAATATCTTTACATGTACATGTATATTCCTTGACAAAGTCCTATACACCAAGATGGAAGATAAATTCCACTCCCCATCTTTGCCCCAACCAACACGCCCTACCAACTTTTTGGCCGAAGTAGCAATGTACATGTAGAATGAAATAACTAGTAAAAGGTCGTAGTGTAGGATTGACTTTTTGTGTCAGAGATTTTGTCGCCAAACTCTGCTGAGCCCCCTCCCTCATTTCCCTTTAAAATTGTGACAACGCCATTGTCATCATATCATTAGACATTGATATGGATTGAAATGAATACTTCGATAGGGCGCAGTTTCAAATTGTAGGCGAAATCTAACTTAAGCCCTTCAACTAAAACGTGTCAAAATTATTTCAAAGTGACGTTAATTGGAAAGCAATCAATCTGTTCAGATATGACGATATCTTTGCCATTTGCTGAATCGATACTCTCGCGCGGCTTTAAGGATTTTGGTCTCCTACTTACAAACCGCGGGAGTAAATTGAATGCCTCAAGTGGAAACACAAACTAACAGCTATGATCTGATTGGTCAGCACTATAGTTGGACGTCACATCATAAAGTGCAAAAGAACCAAAACGCCCTGTGTTGCTTTGATGTGCCCCTTAACCAAGGAAAATTCATAAATTTCTTAACGAATTCGGTAATTTTATTCAGCTTTCTTTTTTCAGATTTCAAGGACCTGCTCATGTTATAAAGGAGCAATTCTGTTTTATAGTTGGGAAATGAAGAGAAAAAAAAATGATTTCCTGGTCTTCAATGAATTTTTGCTGAGAGCGTAATACGTGTTATCTGAAGATACATGTAATAGACAGCATCGGTAAACATTTTGAAAACGAATTCTTAGTTTTAATTATTCGGCTTATTCTTATCTTTGCTATGCATTGCTTCATATTAACATTGGGTCTTAGCATAGTTACAACGCCTGTGCTTCTTCATGTATGCTGGTTATTAACCTTGCTTTGCAGAGGAAATAAAAGGGGCCTCTTGAAAACATTTACAGACCCAAAATACAGACATTTTCAAAGATTTTGATTTCTTTTTGTGTATCTTCATGCAAAACTTTTTCTCCTTGATAGAGCAATCAGTTTGAATGTTACAGGTGTATAAATTAAGTTTAACAAGATTAAATTAAACATCAAATGTTACAACAGGTTTCATGAACTTGTTTCCTTCAGACACAGGTTTTTTTTTCTTGTTCTTTCAAGAAACATCATTCATACTTGACAAATTTTGTTTCAATTAAGACATTCTTTCAGATACATGTACTTTAGCTCCTTAAAGAAGCATTACTTATTCTTGACAACTTTATATTTGACAGCAATAAAAACAGTTCCTTGAAGATATCTTAAAATAGCCACGTGACATGACGACTTGGATAAGGTTGGCACACGACTGCAATGTTGAGCTTCCGTTGTTAGTCTCGTTGTATCCGGGCACAATTAGAAATCAGAGTTTGTTATAGGAATCTTTACAGATTCTGCGAATTCTGTCTGACAGAATGACAAGATTCCCACAACTGATAGATGAATTTGACCAAAATGTCACGTGCATCGGTCGACTGGTATCGATTCCCGCGCTTTTCACATTTATAGAGTTGAAGTTCTGCTGTGAAGTTATTTTTCATTTTCAGAATCCACTTATGACCGTCCCATAATAGCAGTTTGTCACTACTCAGCATTGACTTCTTAATATTAAGCAATTATTTTATTGCAGGAGTTCCAACTGCCAAATACGTTTTTTTTATTTAATCAAAAATCTTCGTCAGTTTCATATGGTCAAAGGACAAATTACTTAAGCTGTCTGCCAAAAGTTCACAAAGATGTTTCTTTCCTATTCTTTTTCAAAAGTTGTACAAACAATGCAAACAGTATACAATTGTATGTTGAAAAGACTTCATCAGTTCTGAATATCCAAGGTTGTTGTACAAAAACATGGAGAAATCGGTATGTACTGTTAAGTTAATAGGCACATTCAATGACTCTCACTTTCAACGTGCGTACACGTATTGACTATTGACATTGCAAAGGGACTTATCACGGAGACTTATCCATAAATTTGTTTCAGAACTATCAAATGGGAAAAATAAAGTAAATATACATAGCATGACTGGTAGCCCTTGTGTTGCAAGACATGATGACCATGTTTCCTTTCATTTCCACATGTTTTCTGCATAAAAAACCTAGTCCACCATAAAAAATCCGGATTTATGTTTCCCAGAGCAAATAAGCCAGATACTGAAACATATTACTTTTTTTATTGTTAGAATATAAATATAAATTATGTTCCCACAAAAACTTGTCCAGAAGGTGAGGAATCCGAAATGGCTTCGCTCTTCTGTACTTATATAAAATTTACATAAATCTTGAATCAAGCACAGAATTGGTATCAAAAACTTGCCCACGGTCCCAGTGGTTAGAATGTTTGCGCTAGAGTCGCAGAGAGAGGAGTTGATCCTTTGGTACGTTGCAGATTTGATCCCACTGCAGGACGTGGAGACCCATCCTTCGGATGAGACCGTATAAACCGAGGTCCCGTGTCACAGTAGATGCTGGCACGAAAAAGATCCCTCGCTGCTCAAAGGCCCTAAGTGCTGAGTACAGGTGTAAATTTGCAGCCCTCCACCAGCAAGTGGTGGCATCTCAACATTCGTGAAAAATTCTCGAAGGGGCATTAAACAAACTACCGGTATAATAAAAACAGAAACGAATTGTTTTTGTACCTTTATAACTAAGATGCAGCATATTACACAAGTATTGCTTGAAAATTTCATCAATGTTAATACATATTGTTAGGCCTTTAAAGCAGTTGCAATAATTGAGATAATCACTGCATCCATCTGTTCATTCATCATTATTATTACGTGGACATTTATTTTAACCTTATGACTTTATCTAGTCACAGGTAAATGATAGTTAAGAGAAGATGCCGCCTGATTTTGCAGCACTCGCTCAGCACTCAAAGCCAGAGTAGTATTATTGTTGACTGTCAACACATTTCAGTGACACATTTATGTATTTCATTTTTTAACCACATAACTTTATTTCTCACAAAGTAGTGGACAGTTAAAGTGATCAAGACACTTTTTAATCAGAGAACAGGGTCAAGAGTTAAGATTATTGATGTTTGTAAACGCTTTTACATGATGCATAAGGAGAGTCCTTAACCCAGTGTCTTCACACTCACTTCACAAGCAGAGGCTTGTTCATAGATTTGGGGTCTCTCAATCAAAGGTAAAAAGGTCAAGATTATTAATTTGTCTTTCAACACTACTTGTTATTTTCATCTCACTTTATATACCAATTAATCATTATTTTCTCAAGCATGGCAGGGTATTAAAAAAAAACTTTGTGATATCTAACACATTGAAATATTCAAGAATCTTAGATATCAGAGACAAAAGGTGACCACTATTGGCTTTATCAAAATATCCTAAATACTGGTATTTTCAGTGTTTGAGACAACGAGATTCAACTAATAATATATGTACACATACAGACAACAGTAAATGGGTGATTAAGGGAAAACGTACTGTGGAGTCGTGTAAATTATTGACATGTATTGCAATAATTATAAGTAACACAATATTCCAAAGTCTTTCAAACTTAATGACTTAGCATATTTTTACACTTGTAGACTAAGTTAAAAGATAGATACCATCAATATACCTTAGTCTGGGCATTGTAAAATGCTGTTATAACAAGGTTACTACACCAAAGAGTGAAAAAAATAATTTACCACATTCAAAGCTTGAACAATTTGGTACAATTCAAGTTCTGAAAAAGACCTTTTGTGAGAGGGTAAAGATGCAGTATAACAAGTTAAAAAGAGAAACAGTGTAGGTGTACTCTGTTCATTTTAGATTTTTTAAAGTAAAATTAATTTCAGCTTCTGTTATAATTTGGATCATGTTACTTCCACCTTTTTTCATTTTTTTTTTCTTGGGAGGAGTTGTGCACTAGCATTTTCACTCTAAGCTCAGTCTTATGTAGGAGGTATTTTACTTGTTTTCTCCTCTTTATAATCACATGACTGTGTACTTTGGTTATACATCACTGACCTTTTTATTGCCATATCTAAAGCAAACCACTTGAACCAGCACGCTTCTCTCAAGTGGCCTTTATCATTCTAACATCATACCTCTTGTAGATGCATGTTTTTGGTTAGAGTCTCTTCAAGCATATTTTGAAGTTTTCGGTTCATCTCCTTCAGATTCTGATCTTCATGTTTGTTCACTAGATCTATCACTTTCTTAAGAGTTAATTTGTCTTCCTGCACAGGCTGCCTAGTTTCTAGAGATACAAAAGAAATGGTTACACTTCATATTTAACACTGCATTTTCTCTCTTGAAGCAAATGAAAAATGAACCAGTTCACATTTTTATGCCCCCATAATTGAAGATTGGGAGGCATATAGTTTTTGCTCTGTCCTTCTGTCTGTCTGTTTGTCCAGCAAAAACTTTAACCTTGCCCTTAACTTTTGATTGGATGGAGCTATGGCTTTCATATTTCGCATGTATTCCTTGTGACAAGACCTTTCTTTGGGTATCAACATATTTGACCTCTTGACCTTAACCTTTGAGTTTGACCCACTTTTGCAAAATTTCACCACATTTTAACCTTGGCCATAACTTTTGAATGGTTAGTGCCTGGGCTTTCATACTTCACAGGTTTATTCCTTGTGATAAAACTTATATTGTTGACATTTTGACCTTGACCTTGGATTTTGACTTACTTTTGAAAAACTTTTATCTAGGCCATAACTTTTGAATGATTGATGCTAGGGATTTCATATTTCACAGGAGTGTTCCTTGTGACAAGACCTTTTCTTTGGTACCAACAAATTTTACCCTTTGACCTTGGAGTTTGACCTACTTTTGAAAACTTAAGCTTGGACATAACTTCTGAACAGTTGGCGCTAGGGCTTTCATATTTTCACTGTTGTATTCCTTGTTACAAGACCCCTCTTTGGGTACCAACAATTTTAATATATTGACCTTGGAGATGACTTGCACTTATCAACACTAACCATTGACATGAGCTACCTTACGGGGGCAAAAGTGTTTCACAAGCACATCTTGTTATTTATAGATTTTAATATAACTTAAAGCAGTCATCTCATTTACTAAACTATCAAACAGTGATATTTTTTTATCCCCCCCCCCCTGAAAAATTCATAGAATGTATGAAGTATTTAATTTTTACAAACCTCTCCTTTGTTCCATAACATAATGTTGTATAATTTGACTTTTCTGAATTAAGTCTTCAGCCATTGCTGCATTGCTCGTTTCCAAATGCCGTACCTGAAAATGGGAAGCACTTTTATTTACATGTGTTTTCAAGTATTGATACCCTGAAAATTAATACTGAACTAATTATTGAATAAATTGATAAAACACAAATCTAACTTGCATATATGAGAAGACAATTTTTGACTATCTTGCAATTCAATGTATATTTTTACCATTATTAAACCTTACTTCAGGTGACATTTCTAAGTATATAATAAAATGTACAATTAACCTGTTCTGTCTGTATATGTGAAAAACAAGTCTTATTAATATTTATTTGAGCAACCGCATTTTCTAGTGCTTGCATAATTTATGAAATAAAGGAAAATTTTAAACATGATTTTCTTGGGCAAAAACTTAAAGTGATACATGTACTCCTAATGTTACTTTTAAGAACTTTTTTGTTCAAAATAAAATCCATTCAATGTTTTTGAAACTTTATATTCAATTCTCACCAGACTTAAATATTTTTTTTTCATCTAAAATACACACTCATTCACTCTTTTTTAAATCTTTAATTCCATCTAATGCTAGAAAATATATCTGATTCAATAAATTTTTACATATACCAGGGATGTATAAACATGTACTAATGGGATAGGTAACTCTTACAAGTCAACTAACTGAATATAGGGAGAAAAACTTAGATCCTCCTCTTTATTTCACTGACCTTTTCCTCTAGGTTCCATTTTTCCTGTTGCACGTTTGTGAGTCTGGCCAGCAGCTCACTGTGTTCCTGATCAATCTCTGATGCATCAGCACCAAAAGACTTGTCTGGACTCTGTAAAACCAAGAAATACGTGTACACTAAACAGCTCTAGTTCTTTTATTGCATATACCAAAAAAAAAAATCATTTGATAGTACTTGGAGGAAATCAGATTCATTTTACCATTGATAAGCATATTTTGACCATATTTCAGTTTTACAGGAAAAAAAATCTTCTATACATTAAGAAATGCTAGATATAAAAGTTATATAAAAGTGAAGTAGGATTAAAATATACCTGTGTTTTACATGTACAATATAGAGATAACATAACATTTATCATTTCTTTTTCTACAAATGCAATTTCTTTTCCAGAGAATAATAACAATGAAGTGTCATACCTGTGGAGAACTCAGGATACTGGAGTCTTTGATGAGACTGTTACCAGCACTCCAGGAGGACAGAGAACTGTGGGGGCACAAAAATAATTTAATACATGCACAAGTATAATTGACCAACCCAAATATGTTGGGAAACCCCTGCCACTTTAATGTCTTTTGATTATATAATCATGTTGTTTGCCATTCAACTTAATGCATTCTTACAAGGATAATGATTCAGTATTGTTTTCAGTCAATAGAAGAATTTTATTAAAAGAATAATTCCCTTTTTTTTATAGAGTGAGATTACAATTTAGAGGAAAGAATCTAAGTTTGTATTCACCTTCTGTCTAGTGACTCATTGCCATCATTAGAGGCCAATAATTCTTCTACACCTAAAACAGATAGTTCTGTTTTTGAAATCCACTACAGTGAATATTTTTAAAGCGAATTTAAATCATATGCACCTAAATCTTTAATATACATGTGTATACAAACATGCTTATAATGAAGTGATTTTCATTCCCTGTAGTTTTAAAACATATTATGAACTTAACAGATTTAACATATTAGGTTTATAACAAATCAAAATAGGTCAATGCTGGCATTCTCCACATAAAGCGTGTTTTACTGATATGAAATACTGAAAGCATAATAGAACTTTTTCTACCAACTTTTATTACTGCGGTTCTCTGACAGCACTTCCTGTAGCCGGTCTTGTAATTTCTCTGCTCTCTTTCTTTCTGAAACCAACTGGCGCTTCAGATCTTTCATCTGATTTAAATATAATTTTAACAGCATTTATACAAATTTCCAGGAATATCTTCTAAAAGTCTGCTCTGATTTTAGACCTTTTTTTACAAACACAAATTATCAATTGAAAACAAAACTGCTAACACACCATTGTCTGTCCCTTCTTTTCATGTAATCTTTTATCTTCAGCACCATCTTTAATCTCCTGCAAAGTATTTACATAATGCTTATTTTGAAGATTTTTTCAAATTTTTTTTTTACAAAAAATTGAAAAAATTGATATCAGTGATGTAATCATATACCATTAAATATTTTTTTCTCTAATTTCTTATCTTGTTCTTCCAAGAACTCTTTTTGATGTAATCATACTGTATATTATTCACAATGCACAATTTAAATATCACCTGTTTTGAGTCTTTTGCTCTGACTGGCCTGTTAGTGATAATAGTGTTTTAAATTTTGAATATCCTCCTATCTGCATGACAGTTACACTTTCCCTTACTGACCAATAGTTAAAATTAATTATTACCTGTTTTAATTTCGAGATTTTCCCCTATCTGTCTCACAGTAAAATAAATTACCTGTTTTAATCTTGAGATTTCCCCTTTACTGGCTGACAGTTCCTGTCTGAGAGATTCTTCTTTATCACAGCATTCCTGTCAAGAATGATAACTCAAGTTTCAAAAGAAAAATTATAGAAGCACGACTTCCGGCCTTGAGTGCTGAGCAAAGGTCTAAATTTGAAGCCCTTCACCAGTATATGGTGACGTCTCTATATGAGTGAAAAATTCTTGAATGGAACGTAAAATTACATACAATCAATCAATCAATCCTAGTGTACACTTGTGTGCCTGAATTGCTCACAAAGATTCTTTCTCTTTTCTTAACTTATTTCTTTTCTTTTTTTTTTTTGTTTTGCTTTGTTTTGTTTGATTTCCACACTTTAAAACTGAATTAAGTAATGACTGCATGGATGGTTGATGAACAAAAGTTACTATTACAGTAGCAATATTTTGTAACTGTCATCCAACTAAATGCTACTCTGCTCAAGTTCATCTAAATTGATCCACTGATTTCAGATGAAAAGATGCTTGAAAGAAATTCCAAATATGAAATAAGCACTGGTTCACATAAACCTTCAGTCTAGGTGAATCATTAACGTGTGAAAGTCTTCAATTTATTTAATTTTTCTTTTTTGTCCATTAACACAACTTAATAATCTTTCAAGGCCATATCACATTCTAAAGCATTAAATTTCACAAAAATTAAAGTACATATATGTAAGTTCAAGAAAAGTACATATGTTTCCCATGTCAAGAAATGTTGACGTACTTGTATTTTGGCTTTATGTTCTGTAGTCATTTCCTGGATTTTCTGAGCATGCTCAGAGTTGAGTGATTCCACCACTTCCTCCTGGTCATGCTTCAGTTGTTCCATTTGTTTCTCATTTTCTGAAATATGGTTTTGTAAGGTCTCCTGTGAAGGAAAAGAAACATTTAATTTAGCAGTTTAAATAATAGGTAAACAATGTTGCTCCTCTCCTCTAAAACTTGGTTAATTTTGCAGGAAAAGAAATTTACAGTGTGTTACTTGGTTTAGCATAGTCAAATTAGTGGGAAATGTTTGTTTGGTTTTAAAATTCTAACAGCAAAAAGGATAAATTTACCTGTTATGAATTCTTTATATTAACTAAAGAACAAAATGCATTTTATATACATACATTATGAATCTGTCTTTCACAGCAACAGATATCAGATTCTAATGATAAAAAAATTAATAAAAGAACACCAAATATGCATGTACTCTGTATGTCTACATCTTGATCTGTAGCAAATATCAAATTGAACTGTAGGAGATATTGAGCTGATATCTATACCAGATATTGAACTGATATGTGCCAGATATCAAACTGATCTATAACAGATATCAAATGACATATAACAGATAGTAAATTGATCTGAAACAAAGTCAGATATTTAATTTAATCTGTAGCAGATATTGAATTCAAACTAGAATGCAAATCTATCTGTTCCTGTGCCTTTGTCTCCTTTAATTAAGGACAATGAATCACAGCTCATTTAAATTTTTTTTTGTAACAATAACAAATTTCTAATAGAGGGAGGGGGTGTGGTTTAAAAATGAAATTGAAGCAAAAGTACACTTGAATGATTACCCTGAAGATTTACAGATTTATCAATATTAGAGTTACATTGTATCTCTCACAGCAGAGGTCAAAACCAAGAGTTTCCTCCCTTACAAAACTGGGCACCAGAAATACATAAGAGGCCAAACAGACTAGTGTGAAAGGATCAAATCAATTAACAAACACACAAATAAGACTATAGGATCAACAAGAAGAGTTTTTTTTAATGAATGTGTACATAAATCTAGCAATGTTGGGGTAACTGAGAGAGAACGATCACTATATACGGACTTACGTACCTCCGTCTCTTTAAGTCGTCGTTCTAGCCATGACTTGGCTTCCTCTAAAGACTGCTTCTCTTTCCTCACCTCTTCCAGTTCTCGCTTGATTTTTTCTAGCTCTGATGCTCGGGTCTACCAAGAAAATATTTAATAGATAAGCTCAATATATTACACCTTTACACATGATAATTTTCTCAATGTCCAAAAAAACTTTTCCTTTTAGTGTATAGAGGTTCTAAGAAACAAAAATTCAATGTATTCACAAATTTGAATTTTTCATTAAGTTTACAATATGATAAAAAAAAAAAATATGCTTACATTCATTTCTTAGTTTCATTTCTACTTCATCATAAACAAAGTCAACATGTCACTGAACCTTTTATACATGTATATGTAAAACATAAATAGCAAATTCCTTACTTTCCATTTGTCATAGCATACGCATAGCCTGTAAATAATTTTTTTGCTGTATGATGCAACCACAAAAATTAAAAATGTAGAAATTCAATTTGCAACCTTTCAAAGGTCAATTCACAAAAATGTCCAACTGCAGAAACTACCCATTATACAGTATTAGTGTGCAGTTCTTTGCAGTTCTGCAGAAAAACAGTTTAAAGGTACTAGAATATTCTCTCAAATTCTTTGTTAAACTGTATCCTCCACCCATGTCTATCCAATATATGGAAGAATAACTTTATTCTGTGGTCCTATCCGGACCCTTGATATTTTGTTCTATCTTGCCTAGTGATCTTGAGAAGAAAATTTACAAGTGTTCCCACTCTATTTAACTACTTATTTATACTTAATTATCTCTTCTTTGAGGGGGATATGACTCTAGGTTTCAATTAATTTGAATCCTCCTTACCAAAAAAAAATGTTCTGTGACAATTTTGATTGCATTTGGCCAAGCATTTCTTTATAAAAAGTGGAAAATTAGAAAAGTTAACAGGTGAAATCAACAGCAAAAAAAAAAAAAAAATTGTGTTCAGAAAAACTCACTAGAGCTTCTAACTCAGGTGATGGCTAAAAAACATGAGGCCAAAAACTTGACTGATCTGTAAAATTTAATCCACACTACTGACTTTTTCACTTTCTGCTGCCTCTCTGAGCGCCTGTATGTGAGCTTCATTCTCCTCTTGTAAAACCCGTAACTTTTCCTGGTAACCAGCATTGTCCCTTTGATATGTGTTGGCCAACTCATCCAACATTGTCTTACGCTTTTCTGCCACCTAAACAGTTAATATAGGAAAGATTGTGATTTCACATAGGTGGGATATTTGCTTGATGGAAGAGAGGGGCTGATTTCAATGTATTCATCATGCCAGTGACTTTGTCAGCAGGACAAGATCACGAAGATGAAACATAGCTTTTGTGCCATGCAAATATCCTAGTATTTGACATTTACAGTGAAGTGAACTTGACAACCATAGTGACATTTTGGGCATTCAAGGTATGGAAACATTATCTTAAATGCATGGAATAGCCTCTTGGTTAGAGAAAAGCATAACTTTGTTACATGTACATATCAATAAACTTTTTTGCTTAATGTAAATAAAATGAGAATCAAGTATTTTATAATTATCTTATAGATTTCATTACATGCAACATGTTTTAAGTCTTGAAGTTCATAATTCTTATATTTTTCAGTGGACTGAAATTTACATGTAATATTAAGAAATCAAAGGGAGAGTTTACTTTATTGATTTCTTGCCAGTCTTCAATGCTTTTATCCCTCTCCTTTTGCATGGTCAGCAGCTGGTCAGAGGTTTCTTGTTGGGCTGCTTTGCTTGCCTGTCAAAAAAAAGATTACAAGATTATAAGATTGGTCATGTTTAGGGAGATGTGCCTATCTTGAATATTTGAGGAATCTAAATACTACATGTACATATGTACATTAAAATGTGCTCTTCATTAAGCTGGAATCAAATTTCGACACCTTTGGCAAAAATTCCTTGTGGTATACTTTATGAATACCATAAAATTATAGGCATAAAAGCTTAGTTCATGATTGTCCAAATCTCTCTCTCTCTTTCCCTCTCTCACCTGTAGCTGTACTTTGAGGTCATCCTGGGACTGTAAATCCAGCAGTTGTTTGATCCATGTCTCTCTCACTGTCTCTCTCTTTTACTCTCTCTCATCCTTTCTCTTTCTCCCTCTCACATGTAGCTGTACTTTGAGATCGTCCTGGGCTTGTCAAGTCCCAGTAGCTGTTGGATCTCTCTCTCTCTCTCTTTTTCTCTCTATCCCTCACCTGTAGCTGTACTTTGAGATCATCCTGGGCTTGTGTAAGTCCCAGTACATGTAGCTGTTGGATCTCTCTTTCTTTCTCTCTCTATCCCTCACCTGTAGCTGTACTTTGAGATCATCCTGGGCTTGTGTAAGTCCCAATAGCTGTTGGATCTCTCTCTCTCTCTCTATCCCTCACCTGTAGCTGTACTTTGAGATTGTCCTGGGCTTGTGTTAGTCCCAGTAGCTGTTGGATCTCTCTCTCTTTCTCTCTCTATCCCTCACCTGTAGCTGTACTTTGAGATCATCCTGGGCTTGTGTAAGTCCCAATAGCTGTTGGATCTCTCTCTCTCTCTCTATCCCTCACCTGTAGCTGTACTTTGAGATTGTCCTGGGCTTGTGTTAGTCCCAGTAGCTGTTGGATCTCTCTCTCTTTCTCTCTCTATTCCTCCCCTGTAGCTGTACTTTGAGATGGTCCTGGGCTTGTGTAAGTCCCAGTAGCTGTTGGATCTCTCTCTCTCTCTTTCTCTCTCTATCCCTCACCTGTAGCTGTACTTTGAGATCATCCTGGGCCTGTGTAAGCCCCAGTACCTGTTGGATCTCTCTCTCTTTCTCTCTCTATCCCTCACCTGTAGCTGTACTTTGAGATCATCCTGGGACTGTGTTAATCCCAGTAGCTGTTGGACCTCTCTCTCTTTCTCTCTCTCTCTCTATCCCTCACCTGTAGCTGTACTTTGAGATCGTCCTGGGACTGTGTAAGTCCCAGTAGCTGTTGGATCTCTCTCTCTCTCTCTCACCTGTAGCTGTACTTTGAGATCATCCTGGGCCTGAGTTAGTCCCAGTAGCTGTTGGATCTCTCTCTTTCTCTCTATCTTTCTCTCTCTATCCCTCACCTGTAGCTGTACTTTGAGATCGTCCTGGGCCTGAGTAAGTCCAAGTACATGTTGGATCACTCTCTCTCTCTTTCTCTATCCCTCACCTGTAGCTGTACTTTGAGATCGTCCTGGGCCTGAGTTAGTCCCAGTAGCTGTTGCTGGAGTTGAGATATCTGTTGATGTAATTTCTCTGTCTGTTCCTTCACATGCTGGTTCTCAACAATGTTAGCAGCACTGACCTTTTTAAAGTAAAAAAAAATACACAAATATATTTAAAACTTCATATATCACATAACATGGTAATATCTTGAAGGTGAGGGGGGTAGATATAATGGACACTTTCACTTATTGATTTAGAATTGGAGAGGATTACTTTTCATATTCTAATTCAGAGATAATGTAATATTTAAATTTCAATATATCGGAAACATTAGAGGAGACAGCTCTGTCCAGACCTGTTGTTGTAGTGAGGCTATGGTTTGTTCTGACTGTGTTTTCTGTTTACTGGTCTGGTCTTCAAGCTCTTGGTAAGACTATACAATAAACATAATAAAAGTAAACAAGTGATAAATTACATGTAGAAACTAAGCTTGATAAATGAAATAGATCTGAAACATACAAAAGATTTTTTTCCACTACTGTATTCTTCAAATTACATATACATGTATTAGGCAAAAAAAATTAAACTTTAGTTTCTCAGGCACTTTAGTATAACTTAAGGTCAAATACTGTTGCATTGATCTATTTCATGCACATACAGAAAAGGGGAATAACTCAATTTTCTTAGAAAATTCCCATTTTCACCCATGATCATAAAAAGCCAAGTTGTTGTAGATGCATGATGTATTACTTATTGTAACAATATTTGACCACTAAATATTCTGTAAAATATGTTTTCAATATCAAACATTATTTAAAGTTTTATTACCTGTATGTATGATATAAGAGTACAACAGAAGTACCATTATTTGTTTTTAACTTTTGCTGCTGCAGCAACAAAAGCGTTAAACCTCTTTTTGCCAAGGGGGATGAAATGGGTGTGATCGCAATCTCCCCTTTTTTTCCAATAAAGAACTCAAAAATATCACTTTTGAAACAAAAATTCATTATTATTCTGTTTAAAGAAATGCTGCTTGATTTTGTTTATCTAATATTTGAAAGAATGACTTCAAAAACCCATCTTATTTTGATGGATTTAAATTACATGAATACATGTAATACTAGCATATCTAACTACAGTAAATGTAAATTCCAACTTCACTGGCACATATAGCATGTCTATAAAACTGCTGAAAAAACTTCTATACCTTTTTTTGCTTCAATATTGACCTCTGAAATGTTATAATCAGGTCTACCAATTTTCAGATAGAGAAAATGAAATGATACAACTTAAAATATATCAGCATGAATATCCTGACTGAAATACAATGTATTCAATTTTCAGTGATTCTGGATTTCTTTCAGACTGAGAATATTTGATGTGGTTATTACCTTCTTGGTCTTCTCTAACTCCTGCTGAAGTTTACTGATCTGATCTGTGTAATATTTCTGGTCCCGGTCTCTACCACCCTGAACATCTTCCAACTTTTTACTACAGTTAGGGGAAAAAATAATGAATAAAATGTATTTTCTGCTATAAGCTTTTATGCCTCACTTTGAATTTAAAGTTATCATAATGTAAAAATTCTACATAGAAAAAAAATCTTATTATGCACTCAGAACTATACTGTAATTCTTAAATTAAACATCTTTTTTAAATAACATCTTCAAAACTTTTTAATCATTTAATATTTATTATTTACCTCAACTCAGTAAACACACTTTCTTTTTCTGCGTGTAACTGTAAGTAACTAAAAATGAAAAAGTAATTAAGTAAACAGATATTTCAAGCTGATGTATGACAGCGATAATTTTACAAATATTTGTTTTTTTTATTTGAATTTGAATTAAGACCTTTCTCATAAATTCTTTTTTTATTTCAGAAGATTCTTGGCTAGAATAGAGTTACCTCTCCTGATGATTAGAGCAACCTATCCCCACACAAAATATATATATATACTTTTCTAGGTTATGACAGAATTACCTTTCTTGTTTCTTCTTCAGTTTGTCTGCACTTTTTTCCACTTCCTCCTGCAGGTTTTGGATTTTTTCTTTTGATGACTTCTAAATTTTAAATATAAAACCAATAAGTCAATGATAATGAAAATCTTTTAGCCATTTTCACAAAGGTGTATACCCTGGTAATTTGTTTCATTTTTTGGAGTGAAGACCTTTCTTATAAATTCTATTATTTGGTATCCTAAACAATCAAAAGTAACCTACCTCTAGAGCTGATAACTGTTCCTGTAGAAGTTTGTTCTCTTCCTTTTCTGTAGCCAGACTCAGACTTAGTTCTATAAAGATATTATGGTGTCAAACTATGAAAGGCATTTTTTAATTTGATGTTAATAAAAATATCACTATAATTATATCAGCTATGAACATCTCCTAAGGGAATTTAATTGGAAATTGTTAATTGGAAATATACATGTATGTATATAAGCATTTTTTTTTTTAAGTATAAGCTTTTTTCCCTTGAGGTACAAAATATCATTTAATATTCCACTTACTGGCTGCAAATGAAATTTTATAGATTAATTTGAATTCTAAATAAATGGGACTTGACCAGAATTACAAAAGTCTCTAAATTTATTCGTGTTCTAAAAAAAATAAATTCTTTGATGCATTTTAGCAAACATAAACAACAGATCAGAATGCAACAATAAATATATTACAATTGTAGAATGTATATTATGATGCCTGTAATGTTACATGTATTAAAGTCCTATGTTTCAAACGGTATTACCATTAATATCAGGTGCATCTTCTGTTGTCTCCGTTCTCTCATCACTGCCTGCTGTGTTCTCAGATTCCACTAAACATTGTAAAATTATCATTAATTTATTTCAAGTAACTTGTCAAATGCAAGAAAATTTATATTTCAAGCAATTTTGGAAAGGAGGAACAAAATATATACAGTAATATTTTTTCCAAGAAATTCAGAAAATTTTTCTAGGGTAATACGAGATATTTTCCATCATCATTAAATCTCTGCTTTCAAGTAAAACAAACCTATCTATTTTTTTATAAGAATTTTTCACAAGTCAGTTAGTCAATAAATCATTCTTTATTCCAAACAAAAATTATTTCTTCAATTTCTCAAAGGTGAGACACAAGTGCCCATCAATAAATGACAATTTGATGTACATGTAAGATGTCACCTACCAGTACATTTTTTCTGCAGAGCGGAATTTTCCGCCTGTAACCTTCTGACCTGACTCTCCAGTTCAGCAAGGTCATTCTGTTTCCCAGAATCCTCTAGGGGTCTGTTCTCTTTCAAAGCTGTTATTTCTTTCTCATAAGTTTCATTGGCAGCTATAACCTGTAACAGTGATATATGGAAAAAAACCTTCATAATAAAGGGTAAATGAATAAAACATGCAACAAGATTTCATCTTCAAATACCTGTCACTTTACCATTGAAAAAATTAAAAATGTTAGGCAAGCTAATGTTGTGATTTAACATGAGTTTTTTTATACTGCAGATTTTCTGTTTGTGTTAATGTTGTTTATTTACATAAAATGAACACAAAAGAAAGAACATCTAAATGTAAGATTTCACATGAATCATGGATGTCAAGTACTTTCTAAACACTAAGCAATGTCCTGCACATTGACTGAAGTGGTTAGATTTGTCACAACTTTAAATTTTTAAGGTTTTATGTTTGTATGAGCTTCAGTATGTTTCCCAGTTAAGTCTTTTATACAGAGATCAGTGATTATTTATCAATACTTTTTAAAATCAAAATTGAATACAAACTTCTAAGTTTACAAAATACCATCATGTATTAGTTTTAGTCTTGGGTTCACTAGTTTGCCAGATACAATTAATACCTATTAAGAAGCAACAAAAAGTCTTCATCTGATTCAATTTGTCAAATGCAGTTTTTGTATCTTGATGAAGTTGACAAAATAAGATGGAAGAAATTCAGTGAAACCTCATTATGTGGGGCAGAGAAAAAACCTGGAAGTATTTGGAAAAAGACATGCAATGGGTTTCCCGGGTAACATTGTACTACATAAAAAAATTATCAATACAAAATGTATGTGTTTGTAAAAGTGAAAAGAAACAATATGGTAAGCTATCAATTTAAAATTGTTTTGTCAAAAGTATGCTCTGTTGTAAGTCTAGTTCAAATACTAAAGGTACATGTAGATTATACATATCTGGACATTCCATTTATGATCTTACTGTAGAAATTAACAATACAAAATTAGTTCACATTAAGTTAGATAGTTTCTGAACCTCTCTCTCGTCTGGTTTACTTACTGTAGAGAGATCCTCAATGTCTGTCTAAACTGGTTTACTTACTGTAGAGAGTTCCTAAATGTCTGTCTAAACTGGTGTACTTACTGTAGAGAGTTCCTAAATGTCTGTCTAAACTGGTTCACTTACTGTAGAGAGTTCCTAAATCTCTGTCTAAACTGGTTTACTTACTGTAGAGAGTTCCTAAATGTCTGTCTAAACTGGTTCACTCACTGTAGAGAGTTCCTAAATGTCTGTCTAAACTGGTTTACTTACTGTAGAGAGTTCCTAAATGTCTGTCTAAACTGGTTCACTTACATGTACTGTAGAGAGTTCCTAAATGTTTATCTAAACTGGTTCACTTACTGTAGAGAGTTCCTAGATGTCATCTGGATCTGGTTCACTTACTGTAGAGTTCAGGACTAAATGTTTCTCTAATCTGGTTCACTTAATGTAGAGAGTTCTAATCTTGTTCACTTACTGTAGAGAGTTCAGGACTAAATATCTCTCGAATCATGTTCACATAAGGTAGAGAGTTCCAATCTTGTATACTTACACTGGAGAGTTCCTGCATGAGAGTCTGGTTCTGAAGTCTGAACTCTTCTTCTTGGCTGTGGAGTTTTCTCTGTAGTTGATCATTCTCTTGTATCAGTAATTCAACCTCCTGTTATACCAAAAAAAAAAAATCTCCACTAGCATAAAAGTTAAGTTTCTAACTCATTTCTTCTTCTCAACAACAAACTGTACAGTACTTATAGCTCTATATAGGCTTACATTTAACTTGCTTTCGTTTTTGCTAATGTTCCGAAAAATTTCCTTTAGGAAATAAAAAAACATTTAAATATACATAAACAATGATAAAGGAAAAAAAGTCTCAAATATTTCCAATTATTTTTTTGTATGTGTGACGTTAATTGAATATGAAATCTTTTACATCTATAATTATTTATTTTAAAATCAAATACAGAAAACTTGTTTCAGTGACATTAGATAGATAAGTAACACTTTATATAATACACTATCTAGGCTGAAAACAGAAGGTTTATTGAAAGTGTTTTCATAAATATATTGTTTAATACGGATTAACATGTACATGATAAATGCCCCCCCCCCCCCCCTCTTAAAAAAAAAAAAAGAAAAGACAAAATGAAATCATTACTAGGGCTGGGACGATACAACTTTTTCTACCTCGATACGTATCCCGATATTTGAGCCACGATACAATATGTATCACGATATGTTTAACTGGTTATAAATTTTTTTTTGTATTGAAATGAACAAAACATTTCTTCACAAATAAGAATAATTTATTCAAAGAAGTTGTATATCTGTTGTAAAACTTAATTATTTTACACAAGTGGTGTTAATCATTATGTATTTCATATTTATATTTATATTAAGCATATTTATTTAAATATTAATCCCAAAATGTTAAGTAAACAAAGAAAATCATAAGTCAGAATTTTTTGGGCGATATTTCGATATTTCTTCATATGTTTTGATATGCGTATCATCCTCACATTGAATCGATATTATCGATATCTCGATATATCATCCCAGTCCTAATCATCACTTACCTTAGCTTTCTTGCTTTTTTGAATAGCCTAAAATAGAGTATTCAATATCCTAAATACGGAATGAAGTCAAAACAAAATTTTTTCATAAGTATTTCAGCACTTGTTGTTTAGTAAAATCTAAAATGATGCATTGCCTAACTTAAAAGTAAGCCAACATTAATGTTCTACCTTATTTGCTTTCTGTAAATCCTTGTCTAAAGAGTCAATCTTTTCCCTCAGTGAAATCAATTCTGACATCATGAAAAAAACAATTCTGCATTTAGCTATGTATGATATATACATTGGGAACAAAGTTAATAGAATGGAATTCCAAACCTCAGAACTTGGATTATCGTGAATATGCACATTCAGAAAAAAAAGAAAGAAAAGAAAATGTTAATCATAATGTCTTTCAAGAAATATGCAAATTCCCTTGTATGTACGCATGGAAAACAGATAAAAAGAAAATGTTAATCATTACGTCTTTCAAACACAAATATGCAAATTTACTTGCATTTACGAATAGGTAAAGCACTAATAAAACTGGACCAACGATTCAAGGATTCTCAGTTATAAAATGTAGAACATACCTCTTTCTTGCTTTTTACATTGTCCATCAAGTTCATAATTTGTAGTTCTCAGCTCCAAGAGCTGCAACTGTAATAAAAATATATATTTGACAGATGGAGGAAATTCAGGATATGTCATTCTATTTTGTCTTGTGACAAATCGCAACTGATACAGAAGAAAACCGGCTAAATGATTGGCAAAACTAAGTGTTCTCCAACAATTTAGATGTGTATGTGCGTAATAAAATGCATATTTAACCTGCATTCGATGAAACTCATCTTCTGAAAGGGAGGAAGACATTGTTTTTCTTACATCCTCTGACTTTTTAGTAAAACCCGAGGACTTTTTTTGTCAATTCGTTCTAGGTGTTATTCACGTTGGTGTCAAACCAGTAAGCAAAGCCTGGATTGCATTTAACTTTTTGTGAAAATTCTCTTGGTGTTAGGCGCAATGTATGCATTTACAAGATCTATAGAATTGGACCGATATCCACTAATGATACGAAGAAAACTAAAAATTATGAAATTCTGGTGTAAATGGCTAAAATCATAAAATTGCATTTTAAAATCTTCTCGCGAATATTTTCGATCTGATGCATGCAGAGAATGCAGAATGGATCGAGAACTAGAATAAACTGGGCACATGATATAAAGCTTGAACTATTTAGATTGGGTTTGGGAGAATTTTAGATGAAACTCTTCTCCTATGGTGGCATATTTCTGCCACCACTTGTCAGTCGATTTATCAGATCTCAGCTCTTTATGTTGACTGTCAGATACTTATGTCGACTTGTCAGAAAAAATATGTTGTCAACTTATGGCCTAAACTGGGCATGGACACATTTTCATGTTGAATTTTTTAACACGCAAATAAGTGAGAAGTTAACAAAAAGATCTGACAAGTCGACATAATTATAAATCTGACAAGACAACAAAAAGATCTGACAAGTCGACATAATTATAAATCTGACAAGACAACAAAAAGATCTGACAAGTCGACATAATTATAAATCTGACAAGACAACAAAAAGATCTGACAAGTCGACATAATTATCTGTTAAGTGGGGGAGAAATATAGAAATCTTTGTTTTTTGTTGTCTTTTTTTTTTAAAGCAGAACACTTCGACCCAGCAGCTAAGAGGAGTCCCCCCAGTCAACAGAGGTCAATCTCGGAAGATGCAGTAAGATACGAGTTTCTATCTTTCTTCTCACTCTATCCAATTGATCTTTGAGCGTCAACGTAATTCCAACAGTAATTACTTTGTTATGAATGATTTCTAGAGCTCACAAAATATATATATTACATGTAAAAAAAAAAAAAAAAAAAAAAAAAAATGGAAAGGAGGAAAACATTATTTAAGAGGTAGTGGTACATTACTTTCTAGGTAAGGGGCATAACTGTTCATAACTCTTTGCAGTTAATTCTGGATGATATTTAGTGCTTTCTTTTACATTGAAGGAATTAATAAATAGAACTTTGTAGATTTACATTTAAAGATTAAAATTGAAAAAGCTTTGATAGGCAGTAAAGTAAAGTAAAGTTAAAAAAAAAAAAAGAAGGAAAGAAACCTGATACTTTTGCAAATTATAGAGTATTGCAAAATCTTACCCTCTTCCTATGTAATGACAAACATTTGGTATAGATATTGTCAGATTTTAACGAAAAGGAAATATATATATATATATATATATATATATATATATATATATATATATATATATATATATATATATATATATATATATATATATATATATATATATATATATATGTTTTTGTCTCTTAAACTCTATATTCACTATTATTTTATAAAGCTTTCCTTTCTATCGTAACAAAGAAGAATTTATCTACCGGGTAAATTAAAAATATCTATTCAATGTGATATGATCCTTGTTAATTACTGATCTGGCAAATACATGTAATATCAAAAATGTTAAAGTAAACCGTTTCAGCAAAAAGTTGGATGGATTTTACAAAGTTAAGCCCCTTTTCTATGGTAATTTCCATAGGTAAATAAATCACGACAAATTTTAGCCTTTCAGATTTTGTTGAATTTTTTTCTCATATCTATTTTGTATATGCTTGATTTCCTTTATCACAAAAATTCTAGTGTAGTAAGTTTAAAATTGCGCTTAATTTTTGCTGAATTGACTAGACTATTACTTTTCACTTGTTTTTCACATAACCACTTTAACATTTTGACTCTCAGCAATGTCTATCGGAAGCAGCAGGACATGGAGCCCATTAGGTGCCAGGAAGCCCTGAATAGGTTTGGTTTTTGTCTTAAAAACCAGATATAAGATGAGTTGTACTTTTTCCTTTGCATGCGTTTCTGTCACTTTTCCCCTTCCTACCCTTTGTAACTCTGGCACTTTTGCTGTGTTATTGATTGTCTCTCTTTTCTTCACATGTATTTTTCACGCTTTTGTTTTAATAATATGTTAATATGAAATTTTCTCATATCATATTTGTCAATATTTTTTTTATTGTTTTGGAAGTGTACTAATCTTCTGTCAGTTTGTATCTTTGACAGGGGGCACAAAGGAGGAATGGACGCACAGTGGCTGGTCACACAAGCAGAAGAGGAGGAAACAAGTTTCAGAATCGAGGATACAGGGTATCCACTACGCCAACATTGACCAAAGTAGTAAGAAACAAGCTTTATTTATTGCACTTTTTCTATGATCCTTTGATCCAAGTAGGGCACTCCTTTGGTTCTCGACTCAAATGTTGGCAGAAGAATGGTAACTCGAGGCACTGTTTGATCCCGTTGTGGAGAAGCACTTCATCACTCGTCATGAGGAATCTATAAAGAGCAGGGATAAACATTCAGGCCAACCGTGGAAGAAAGGGTACGATATAAACTCTATCTTGTTCTGAACTTATTTCATGTGCTTCTTCACACTTGATTTGTAGATTGGGACCCTCTTTTGATTTCCTTTTTTGTCTTGACAGAAACTTGGGACAACAGTTCCCTTCAATAAGTTTAATACTGGGATTAAGTTTTGCTGAATAGACTAGAATATTATAATTTTCTTTAACTTGTTATTGCATTACCCACAACGATCTTTTGGCTTTCAGTTGACAGGATGTAGAGCAGCAGTGTCCATCGGAAGCAGCAGGACATGGTGCCCATTAGATACCAGGGAGCCCTGAAAAGGTATGGGTTTTGTCTTAAAAACCAAACATAAGGTGTTTGTATGTATTTCTGTCACCTTTCTCCTCCTTACCCTTTGTAACATTACTAACCCTTTTTGCACTCTCCCTGTGTTATTGTTTGTTTCCCTTTTCTTGATATGCATTTTTTGCATGTATTTGTTGTGATAAATTATACATTGATATGATTTTTTTGTTATTTTTGTAACTTTTGTGGAAGTGTACTTATCTTGTGTCAGTTTTGATCTTTGACAGGGATGTAGAAGAGGAATTGATAGATAGTTGCTGACCACACAATGAAGAGGAGGACTCATTTCCAGGACACAGGAAAATCAGATGTTCAGAGGAAAAGCCGTCACAAACAGGTACCAAAAGGTCTGAGAATGAACGGTTTACAAAGTGTACAGGTTAACTGAAGCATAATTTCTTTTTTGACTATTGAAGAAACTGTATTCATTTTATATCAAGTAATGACTTTTTTTAATACATGTATATATATGAAAATGAAATTACATTATTTTTATTTCTTTGTCTTCAGGTATACATGGTGAATAAATGAAATGAAACATGCTAGATTGTAAATTTAGACATATATTTGGTATTCAGGGCCATTAAGCAGTGGGGGTTCTTTATCATGCCAACGCCTACCGTGACCTGGGTCTTCGGTTACTAAGGTCTAACCTAAGAGCTTCATTTTTAATGCTGAGCGCTTGGCGAAGAAACAGTCACTACCTATATTTATGTCTTTGGTTTGACCCAGAGCCTCCCAATCACGAAACGAACACCCTACCAGTAGGCTATCATGACTGGTGTGTATGTGTGTGTGTGGGGGGGGGGGGGGTCTATTGATCATGAAAATGCATTAATTCGTTAAGTCTTTTTCCTCCTATATATTAAGCAGAGATTTTAGTGCATGATTATGATGAGAAAGGGTGCATCTATCTTTGTTATAAATTTGATGGCCTTTGGGTCAGAGGTTATTGTGTTAGGGTAGGACTCTATTCATCATGCTTTGAAAATGCATCAATTATTTAAGATATCTTTTTCCCCTCTGTTTACTTAACAGACAAACAGAGTGCATGGTTATGATGAACAAGGGTGTTTCTACCTAAATTGTAAATTTCATGGCTCCAGGATTAGGGGTTCAGGTGTAAGGGGGGGGGGTCTATTGAACATATAGTCAAATGCATTGACTTTTTAAAAATCCTTTTTTTCCTCTTTAGCATAGCCTCTACCTTGATTGTGAAATTCATGACTTCTACCTCAAGAGTTCTGGCACTGGGGTTCTGTGATGGTACATATTGTTGCTCTGTACATAATGTCGCCATGCTTTAACCAGATTTTGTATCTACACTATTTATAAAGGATTTCAGATTAATTCTTTCACGGCCCATGGTTCTTGAAAAGATTTTTAAGCAATGGCATTCAAATTTTCACTATTTCTTATTTTCTCTAGTTGGAAGAGGATGTTATCATTCATATGAACAAATCGGAATTCCCTTTAAAAACGCTTTGTGACAGATTTGTTTAAATTTTGTCCCGTGGTTTTGAAAAAAAAGATGTTAAAAATGTAAATTGTTAACAGAGAGTACATGACAAACAGACGGACAGACAAATAGACGATGTACACTCTTGAATGTTTTTGAAAGCCCTTTTTCATGCATTTTAATAAGAGTCTTTTGAATGTTTATCGCAAATTCTCTGCTTGTGTTGTTTATTTACTTAGAACATAAATGAACATAAAAAAGAACCTCTTAATAAAAGATTTAGCCTGAATCATAGAAGTTAAGTACTTAATAAACACTAAACAATATCCTGCTTCATTCACTGAAGTGGTAAGACTTGTTACAACTTTAAATTTTTAATGTTTTTATATACGTATATACACGTAAATCTGTCAGTCTGTAACCCGGTAATATTTTTGGTGCAGAATACATCGACATTCTTTTTAAATCGTTTATCAACACTTTTCAAAATCAAAATTGAGTATAAACTTTTAAGTTCAAGTATACATGTCTCAAAACGACTATATCAATGAAGTAAATGCCAAATTCATGTACTAAATAATCAACATAGAATTTGATTTTGTTTGCCTCTCTTGATTTTCTATGATCAGCGTTGACTGTAGAAAGATAAGGCCAACTCAAAGGGAAAGTAGAGACAACCAAAGTGTCTTCATTTAATTCATTATTAAATTTTGTTAAGTACATGTCCTTTATCATGATCTAATTGGTCAAAATTGATTTGCGTGAAAAAGCATTATTTGCTAAATGCGTGTTCTTTATGTTTGATCTAATAGATCAAAAATGATTTTGCATTAAAAAGATGCATGTATCAAAATCTGAAAGTCGATGTACTTGTACAGCTATATATTCCCTCGTAACAATGGTATGTACTTTAATGTCAACACATACAGCTCAAGTGATTGAAATGGACATGCATTGGGTTTCCTGAGTAAATTGGTAGTATATAAGAAAATTACTGTACTTATATGTGCTTGTAAAAATGAAACACTATTGTAAGCTGTCTTTTCAAGGTCGTTTTCTGAAACAGTTAAAAGTTATAAGTATGACCTGTTTCTGCACAAAAACTAATTCTTTGTAAGACATTTAATGATACTTTCACTTGCACTTCTGGTGACAGAGATTGTTTTGTTCAGTAATTTCAAACTATAAAGAACACTTGTATAATTGTCTAAACATACACATGCACGATGAAAATCCCCAGAGTCTAATTTTTTGTAAATGTTTTTCAATGCAAAAGGATACAATTCTTCAATAAATTTTACTTACAAAAATGAAATATTTGGCAATTGTATTTTAAAATGAAACTGAAATTTAAAAAAAGCTAGATTTTAAATTTTGACCAATCCCTACTAAAAGTTTCCTGATTCCAACTTCATAAAGTGCAAATGATAAAAATTTCACTAGAATACTTCTTTATTGGGTGTCATATGGTTTACAGGATAAATGTCTGAACCATTATCTAATGAATTTCGTAATAGCAACTGCTTGAGATAAGCAGTAAGTTGGTATTTGTATTGATTTTCATTTGGATATCTTTTATTTCAATCGGGATCGGTTCAACTTTGAAAGTAAGCAATCGTTTAACTTAGCAATAATTTTATTTCATTTTTTTTTTTAAATATGAATGTGTAGTATACGTGTATATCTTTTCAATACTTAAAAGTGACGGTGTCTTAAACACAATAGATTTTTTTTGTCCTATCCGTTTTATTTAGAAGATATTTCCTAAACCGTATTTAATAATAAAGATATTATCTACAGGGAAAAAGTTTATTCTACTCTTTATATACACTTAGATTCAATATGTACATGTACGCAAAGATAAGAAAAAATTGTAATTTTTTGTCTTTGCTTACAAATAGCCTGAAATGCAATGGTTTCTACAGAATTCTAAAATAATTACTAATACGTCTGGATCAAAACAAAAAAATTATTTCGAAAATGTAAAGCTGTTCCTTATAACTAAAAGTCTAAGACTCTTTTCTACATGTGAAATTTAGAACTCAGAAATAGCAGTCCGTGTTACCACCAGCTGATCGTTCGGTAAATATACGAATAGACTTACTCATGTATCAATTAGAGTTATGTTAATGATAAATAATGGTGCATTAAATGATATTTAAACATGGGACTGAAATAAGAGGACATGTAAGGTGAGCTGAATATATCTTGAAATGCTATAGATTTATTAAATAAGGACATTGTATTCAGATATTAGCTTTATTACATGTACATAAGCAGAAGAAGACAGTAATGTTATGAAAACAGTACATTTGCGAAAGGAAACCGTTTAAAATGTTATGCCAGAGATAAGAAACGATAAGACTCAACATTGTGCGTCAACTGTACTGACCAATATGTGCACTGTAAAGGTACACTGTAATTCTCTGTGAGGGTGTGTGTGTGTGTGTGTGTGTGTGTCTTGATCAATTGATTTTATAATATATATGATTTATAGTTCTTATACATGTAATAATCTCGTTGATTTGTGATTAATTAACAGGTTGCTCTCCTATTTTTCTCGTTTGCTGTACAATGTCTCTCTTGTCCATTCCCACCGCCCTGTCTTTGTGATGCCAGGTCGCCGACCGTGTACTGTAGAAGCCTTAACATGACGTCACTTCCGAAAATAAACCCAGCTAATGGATCGTGGACCGTTTTCTTAAATAACAACAAATTAAGACATTTACCTTCAAATGCTTTCTTTGGAATTAAAGTTCATATGCTTGTGCTCGACAATAACGAAATTGTAAAGGTAGATGACCACGCGTTCAATGGAAGTGAAGACTCTCTGATATTTTTAGAGTTAGCTGGAAATAAGTTATCATCATTACCATCAGCAATTGCAAGGCTTCAAAATATCATGTCGCTGTCAGTTTCCCAAAACCCATTGACTGATCTAGATCAAGAAGTGATCGCGAACATTTCAAAATCCTTACTATTTTTAGATTTTGGATCAAGTGAAATGTTAAAGTTTCCACGGAGTATTAAGCTCCTAAAAACTCTGGCCTCGATTGATTTATCAGATGTAACATTCACTAGTCTTCCAGAAGACGCATTTCAACCCTTCGTGAATTCTTTAAATGTGCTTGGACTTCATAATACAAGCTTAGCAGAGCTCCCATCATCTATCAACCTGTTAAATAGCCTACAAAATCTGAAACTGGACAGAAATCGTAATTTGTCAGCTGCTGCAATATCGAAATCGGTGCCTAATGGTCTTCCTGGTTTGACAGATGCTACATTCCAAAACAATGGGCTAAGTACTTTGCCAAACATTTTCTTGAAAGCGAGTCATTTATACATCATTACAGTTTTAGATGAGCCTATATCATCTTTAGGCGATGATTGTTTTACGCCAAATTTCAGTTCAAACTTTCAAGTGATGCGGATGAATAATACCCAATTAACCCGTGTTCCATCTTGTTTGTCATCAGTTGAAAGCATAAAAAGACTAGAAATAACGTACAATAATATTTCATCAATTGAAGAAGATGATTTTATGAACATGAAGAACCTTAATATTTTAGTCTTATCGTGGAACCCAATTACCAATGTGTCTGACAAAGCCTTTGAAAGGAATGATGCTTTGAGTTACTTAATATTTGAGCAAACTAAGTTGCAGTATATACCACGTGCTATTCAAAATTTAAAATCGCCACAACTTCTAAATTTATCTGGATGTCATATTCAATGCACGTGTGAAAATCTTGGCTGGATGAAGCAGTGGAAAAGAAGACCGGATTATTTTCAGATTGTTGGAGAATGCTGGAACCTCAGAATGAATCTGATGACCTTTATTAAAGGAGAGATTCCAAAATGTCCAAATTAGTGAGGACAAGCTTTAAAAATGTGTTTGCAGTTTACACTCAAATTATTAGGGTTTTCTACGCCTAAATTTTCACCACTTTAACAGTGACTGAGAAGAGTTACTGAAGCAACAGAAAATGCATAGGTGAAACATTTTATTTCAAAATCTGAGGATGATTAAAACCCCTCAAGGAAAAAAAAACTAAGTTTGACATTAGACTCAAGTTGTAACATACATTCTAAATATTTATTACTTTTTCTTAACATCAGATTCTTCAGCTTAAAAAATAATTTATGGTTGAATCTGATATATTTCAAGTCGGAAGGAATTCATTCGGACGGTAAAAAAAAAAACTCTGCAAGCAAATATGTTTAAGTTTGTTTAATGGTCTTATACAAAGGTTATACAATAGGATTGATCTTGTAGAATGTAATATTTTGTATCCTTGTTCTTATAGCAAATTTTGTAAATACATCCAGCTCGACCGAATGTGTATTTTATCGAACGAGGTTTAACAAGAGAAACCAAGTTTTTTAAAGAATTACAATTTTTGTCATATTCATAAGTTCTAAATAATTTACAGGTAAGAAGCCTTTATTTTGCAAATCTATGGTGCAAAAGCTAAATTTGCTTTCAATAAATATCGTTAACTCTCCATTCTTAGTGTTTGTTTTCTTACAAAGCATATGTTCAAGCAAATAAAATATTCATGCGTTTCAAGAGTAATGCAGAAACAAATAAAATCAATTATTGTATGATGTTTCATGAGAATTATAGAATTACTGTTAATATATTTTTTCTGATGTACAGTCCTAATTTAATTCGCAGGTGAGAATGTTGCCGTGGCTGGAATTTGTAAATTTTTGAGGAGGTCTGTCTCTGTGATTTGAAAGTGTTTGGCTCAAACTTTTATTTTAATTATTAATATTCCAGTAGATGGTGGTGTCTTTACTAAAAACCACCGTTTCATTTTCATAGACTCAGTTTGTCTTAGCTTTAAAGAGAAACAAGATTGAAACAATCAAGATCCAGTCCCCTTCTAAAATGGAGGAAAATAGGACGGTATCAATTAGAAATTTTCTTCATTAAACCACTGGGCAAGAAATACCAAGTCTAGTAAAACTACAGGAGAATCATGTAAACAAAATATACAATAAGGACTCGGTTCTAAAAGGTCTTCACAGTTTAGATGCATGGGAATGTATTTCATTTATTATTCACTTATGATAGTTTTAGATTAAAACCTAAATGCACCTTTATCCTGACCCTGCTTGTGGTTTTCAAAACTGCTAAAGAGGCTAATGTAATACACCTCTTATGGAAATGATCCAGTAATATATATATATATATATATATATATATATATATATATATATATATATATATATATATATATATATATATATATATATATATATATATATATATATATTTGTCATGCATTGTAAAAGTAACTTTCAGATAAAGAAGAATTGTTTCTACATCATATACCAATGCGCGTTGTTATTAATTTTCTAAATTAGCTTTCACAGAGATTTTGTACTGACCACTTCCTTTTTTTTGATCTACTCAGAGACATTCCTTGAAAGTGGTTTAAACAATCATTACAAGTAGCCCCCTTGATTCTTTCCGTTCACTTTATTTAAAAGTGATTCGGTGTTTCTGGGGATAATTCAAAATTGGAATATTTAACAGACGTATAGACGACGGAAAAATGGTTATTCACAAAAGCCCGTGAGATCAAATTTTACCAAAAAAACCTGCTCTTTTGTCTACATCTGAATCTTTTGTCTACATCTGATTCATTACCGGAAAACAGTTTTTAAAAAGACAATACACATCTACACGGAACTTCCTATGTGATATAATCTTATTGTTTCTGATTAGACAACTAACAGCGATGATCATCCTTCAGAGATTGACCGATAAAACAGTCGGTCATACCACATTAGAAGAAAATGTCATTCTCTTCGCACTAGAGTAAGCATATATACCACTGAGCCATGAACACGCCGTGAAAACATTCAAATATGTGTCACTCAGTATTTTTAATGACTCAATCAATTATGTGATTCCTTGTCTATTTCTATGATTACAATGAATATTTGTAATCCTTTTATTCTTTCTGTGATAGACCGTGAAAACTTAATGAAGTATGAGTGGGATTACAATTTATTTTAATAGTAACACCTTAAGGTCATATTCACTGTGTATAGCTAGGTTTCCTTATTGTGACAGTGTACAGTTCTTAAATTAACAATTTTCTTCTAGGAACGAGCACCGGAAATTTATACCTCCGTCTCAAGTGTAGGGCGGTCCTTCTTTCTAAGTATAAAGTTCTTCGACCCTGGATCGGCTATCGTCATACTTCTTACAAGTATATAAACATTCTAACGATCAAGTCTTGGGAAGCTTAAAGTATATAAAGTTACATAACGGGCACTTGTTTCTAAATGTGAACGTGCCTTGGTAGACTTTAATTGACACGAGAGGTAAGATTTTGTTTTGATGATTCAATTTTCAATTGAACATGATGCTAATTATATATTTTATATATAATATACAAGATAATTTTACTAACTTTACTCTTGCATTTTATTTGATTAATTTAAGCAATTTGACTGACTTATGTGTATGTCAAAAGATAATAATATATTTTCAGAAGTATGAAATATTATTAATGATCATGTGCATATTTTTTTTACTTTGCTCTCTGATTCATAGATTAAGAATTATAAATATAAAATTTTCTATTCACATTAGCTATCATAAGGTTGAAAACACTTAATTCTCAAATTGTTTTTATAAGTATCTACGAACAGATTTAAGTATAGGTTGTATTTAACACTCTTTTTTACATATTCAAAAACTTATAGCATTTTGCCAAATATTATTTCTCGTTATATAATAAATTCCTGTGCGAATATATGTTAAGAAATGTTACGTGAAATTAAAGATTTTCATTTAATTTTTTTTTTCCCTAAAGAAAACCTAGGCCTGCACGTGCGTTATATATTTTTTTATTTATTGAATAAACATAAAAGTTAATAAAAAAGTAAAATTGAAAGATATATTTCCAAGGCCATTACGAATATGCATGAATATGCTGTAGACCCTTGCACGGCTATACACAACTGCGTGAAATTAAATTAGCGGTTTTGTAAATGTCTGGGGATAAAATATCCACGCTTATCTATATCGAACAGTGAAAATATTTGAGCTATACCTGAAAGAATTTATATCTAATCAGAAGAAATGTCGAAAAACAGACAGTTATCAAGAAATGTGAAAGTAACATGTAATGAAATATTTATCTTTTTCAGCTTCCACAAAATTCATTTTCATAAAATTTTATATATACATTGTGTTAAAGGTTAATTGAAACATGAATGGAAAATTTTTCGCTGAGTGAATACAATAAATCGGTTATTTTCATGTATTTTTCAGTTTTAATCCCTTTCCTTTGAATGAAAAAAAAAAATCAAATTGAAAAGTAAAACTTATTGTGTCACTCTTTAAAGAAGAAGATTTTTGTCAAAGTTTCCACTCTTATAAATGCACCTCTTTCTAGAATGTGTACATCTTGACCATCAAATGACCGCATGTAGGTGAATTATTATGAGTACTTATATGCAGTCTTTGTCCTTGTGATCAAACATCCCTCAAATAGCGATTTCTTGCGGAGGAAATTTTACTTTAGAATTAAGGATGTGGGCGTTTCCTTAATTATCGTAAATGGCTATTTGGGTGTTCACTGAAAGATTCCTCAGTACACTACACACCTTATTTGTATCGTTAGGAAGTAAAACTTTTCTTTATATACACATAAATTTTATTTACATTATGGATTCCGGATATATTTAATCTATAAAGTGAACTCTGGAACCTAAAATTTAATTGCAAAGAAGACTTTTAAAATATTTGTAAATCGAAGGATTAAAAAATAATAGGCTCAAAATATACACGTCATAATATCCAGATGGTATGGGATAAAAACGTGATTTTTAATGTAAACAATCGGAAATATAGGTAACCGTATGTTATGTTTTCCTCGTGCAGTTTGTTGCGTTAATTAAATTTTTAAGGGTGGGTTCAATATATACACGTACCTTTTTGAATGTAGAGTTAATGTACTCGTACTTACCGGTAGTCAATTTTAGTGACCAAACTCTTAATTTGCCTTCGGATATATAGTACGTACATGTATGAATCTCAATAGAGGATAAGTATTGAAATCTCTCTTTCTTTTCGTAATTGGATTTAAGTACAAAAGTGAACACGATTGCAAATATGAAATTTTATCTAATGAAAGTGTACTAGGCCTACTACACAGATTGGGTTTTCACAATTTTTGCCATTTTTAGAAAAAATAAATGATACGAAAAGAATCGTTGAAACATTATAAACTCTTGTATGTAAGGAAAATTCGCAATTCTATGACATTCAAAGTATCAGTCTTTTATAATTTCAGTTTCTGTACTTATAATTTACAGACAGTTTATCACTTCACAACATTTTGAAAAACCACAACAGTAAAACTTCTTGGTAAGCGGAAGTTTTCCACTTTGCAGACGACAGACGAGATGCAGACGAACTCACGTGATAAGAGTGACAGCTGTACAACATGTCCCAAGTGGCTCCACATCAAAGAGTTCGGACTAAGCCACAAAAATCCCAAACGTTTTGTTACACTAGAGGTGAGTGTTGGTTACTGAAAGAGTGGAGTAGACTCGACAGAAGCGCAAGATTAAATTTAGATTTGAATCTAGTTTATCAGATTAAACTGTCACAGTGTATAGTTTTTTTTTTTATTTCCTTCTTGGCTATCGATTGAGGCACATGTCAATATTAAGAAATAATGTTGACAATCACTCAAAATGGAGAAGAAGATAATAAGATGCACTTGTACAATTAAGTGTCATGCGGAACCCAAGGAACGGAAAAGTGTTTTTCTAAAGTGCATTATGTTGAATTTATTGTATGGTTTTATTTAATATGATAGTGATAAATATAATTGAAAAAAAAAAAACGTGAACTTGTGTCTAAAGTGTCACTGAATACATCGTAAGCTTTTACATAAATGTTATTTTTAATTTCAAAAGTCAATAAGTTTGCAAAAAAACCCAGAAATATGCAGTTGTTAGTTGATGATAGTCAAGTATGTAAGCATATTAAGATATGCTTTGGCGCAAATTTTGTGCATTAAACTGGAGTCAGACTGGATGTATTTTCCTTGAGTCATTTGCCGATAATGTTTTATACACAGAACACATATTGATTATTTATTAAAAAATTAGTCTAGTTTTCCTATTCTGTTTCTAGTATACTCTAGATTATATACATTTGTATTTGCTAACTGTATCCAGTCTAAGCAAAGATTGTTACTTCACATTTTCAGATTGGTCGACCAATCTTTTATCTTCCCTGGGCTATTTTCTGGGCAGTGTATCACGGTGTTTGGATTATTCTGGAAGCTTATTGGTGGTCTTTGAAGACCCACCGTGCACCAATGGAATGGCTCCTTAAGTTGACCAACGTCGGATACATTGCTTTGTCAGCGGTTGCGATTGTAGAATGCATAATTGCTGTGTACACTTACAGCTTCCTAAGAGAAAAGGATCGAGGTATATATTTTGATAAAAATATGAGTAGAGTTTTTTAACACCATTACAATATTGTATTCGACACAAATATATTTCTTTAAAACTGACACCGTTTTCTTTCTTTCACAGAATCACAGACGAATTTGCCTTGGTACAGTAGGATATCGTGGATTCTGCACAATATTTCCCATCCAACAGCTCTTTTAATTGCATTATCCTATTGGACGATGATTTTTCCATGTAAGTATGAAAAGGTGGTCTAATTTTGTGTACTTTTTCCTTTATGAACACGTATATAAAGATTTTCTGTTGTCATAGAAGCTGTGTGATCATCTAATTATTATTGTGTGATATTAGTGTTTTGATTTTTAATTTTTTTTTTAAATTAAGGATCAAATTCATTGTAATGAATTGTAATCTACCCCCACCCCCACCCCCCTCCACCCCCACCCCCCAAATAATAAATATATATTCAAAATACTAGAAAACACATGTAATAACTTTTGGTAAGTAAAAAGATGCAAGTATTCTGATTATTTTAGTGTAATTGTTATTACAATATCTTTATTCTAATACCTTTGTATTTACAGATCATACAATAAAAGCGTGGACCATTAACAAACATGCGATCAACCTCTTGTACACCCTTTTACTTCTCATCGTTACATCAAAACCAATCAAATTTCAACACGTGCACATTCCCATGGTATTTAGTTTTGTTTATCTTTTATTCACATGGATATATTTCTTGGTGACTGAAGAAATCATATATTCATTTCTAAAGTGGGATAAGCCAGGGAAAGCCATTAAGTTGACTATTCTCTATGTATTCGTTTGCACACCACTTGCCCATTTTGCAATTTGTGGAATTTATAAATTGAAACAATTTGTAAAAGAAAAGTGTTCAAGGACGAAAACTGTTGAAGTTGATGAGAAAAAAGACGAAGATTCTAAAGAGGAAATGTTATGTAATAACAATAACGGTGGAATAGAAACTTTGTGATTTTGAATACACGTATTCCAGTTTAATATTTTAAAGGTTGTGTCCATAATAATAATGACTGTTGTTAAAATGGTTTTTACTCTCCATAACAATGTATATCTACAATGCATTTGTGCAATAATTCAAGTGCAATACCACGTATACTTTTCAACGATTTTTTGTCATACATGTATATTTATTTCAATAATAACGCCAGTAAATATAATGTTCTTTAATCCATAAAGATATTATATAATATAAATATTATATATAATATTAATACATTTTGTACAAATACAGAAAGTTTATCATGTGAGGAGTGTGTATGTAATGCACACACTTAGACACTGAACAAATATACACAAAAGCAAGACTCTGATGTTCTGATGTTAGTTGTCTTTGATTTGGGATTTAGAAAAATTATATTTATAGTTGTACAGGTATTCAAAGCTGATTTCCTTTCTGAATATAATTTCAATAAGTTTTTAAAGAAAGCACGGTTGAAAAACAATCAAATATCTGAGATTTACCCTGAGATTCTCCCTATTGTTCATCAAAGATATTTACAACAGTGAACCACTGCAAGAATATGAAACTTGACAACTGGTATTCTAAAAATGTGTATATTTTAACTGAATCTTAAGCAGGTGGATAGTCAAATTTTCATATTGCTAACTCTTACTTACAGATACATATGGGAAAAAATAACACTGCTTTTCATGCTCTTATCTGCTGTGTGTTTCAAGTCTTATTCAAATTCCGGTTTCAAATTCCATAACAAATTCATAACCTCGTTGTACGTATTAAAAAGAATTTCAGACTTTAATAATATTTTTTAAACAATGATTAAATGGTTTTTATTGATATTACCTGTCCGTTGTTTGCGCTATCTTAGGTCCAGATGTTTAATGATGTCATAGGAATTTTTTATAGAGAGAAAAAAATATATAGGACACTACCTTTATCTCCAGGTTCAGCCCTTGGATTACAATAAAGGATGATAGTGGTCATGGTTTCATTGGAGAAACAATACCCCCTATCTTAATGATACACCAAGATAAAGAATAAAAATGGGAGGTATGCAAATGATAAAAAAAAATTGACAGTACTGCGATAAATTAAATACAATCAGCATATCATGCGGAAGCTTACAGCTGTATACTTATCCCACACCTTAGCGACGATAAAGCTCTTGAATTTTTCCTGATGTTTGCGCAATTAAGTCATATTCCATTTAAAGTTTGAATATACGCCCTCTGCATTATCAAACGAATTTACCAATACACGTACAGAAAAAAAGTAAATTAAAAATTCATAATCTATTATTATGTTTGTAAATAGTAGTATCTTCAGTGTCAATGAATGAACAATGACGTAGAAATCATTAAACAATAGATAATTTATCTTGGTAAATATACACTCTTTTGTGATAAAAACAGTCCCCTTACACAGGGTTTTTAATTCCAATTCCCTTTCTGTATACGTATTCTTCTGTGTTTAAATTTGATTTCATGGCATTTAAAATCCATTTTAATAATCTTGGGAATACATCGTTCCACTAGAGTAAACTTGCACCCAAGGATCTCATTTCCCTGTTTAAAATTCAACCTTTTCATGCATTACTTATAACCACAAAAGTTAAAATTAGATCTAAAAGGTTTGCACTTAGGGTCGCTAATGGAGATGAGAAACTTTCTATCGAAAGACTCATAGTAGCAACAAGAAAAATATTTTTTTTTATATTATTGATAAATGATATGAAATTTGATTCCATTTACAAAGGAAATTTAACTTTTCTCTAGAATTAATCTTAATAATTACCTTCTACTTTGTGAGGTACAAATTTGAACACATAAATCGGTACTACTCGAAGAGGGTACTGTATTAGGATACATATTAAGAAATATCTTTATTTCCCTTATGTTTTAGCATTGATAAAGTTCAATGATTATAGCGATGAAATCAAATTCTTTATTCTAACTATCCATGTCAAATGGAATGATGTCGTAATATAGCAGACTGAAATGCAGTGTAACAGTATAAGATTTAGAGTATGTTATATTAGGAACATGTGTAAATAAAGGTAGATGTCGGCGAAATCTTAATCAATCATTAAAATATAAGTACGTGGCAATGAATTTATATGTATATTGTATATATTAACAGGTACGGTGTCTTGAACATTTTGAAAGATAATTATAACTTTCATACAGACTGAATCAAAGTTGGATACATTATTGTCATTCCAAAATTTCAGATATGGTTACATTATGTTCGATTTAGTGATTAATAGTTTTGTTGATGTGGTGACTAACTTAGTCAATGCGCAATTTTCTCATTCGAGATGTCACACGCTTGTTGTATTGCGTGAGGAAGGGGGAGGGAAAGGGAGAAGCTAGCCCTCCGAAACTATCATCGTTCTATGAATCGCCATTTCTTACCAAAACGTCGATATATCTAAATGTCGAGTTGAAGGCCACAGCAAGTGTTTCTTCCTCTCGTGTAGAAATTTTTGAATAAATTCTGTTTCATATGAATATAAAAATAGGTCTGCTAATAAAGAGGCGCTATTGTTACCCATGGGAATTCCGACAGATTGGTGGAAGGATAAATCACCAAAAACTACATAGTTATTGTCAATCAGAGACTCAAGCATCTTTTTAATATCAACTTCGGAGTACTTGTGTAACAAAATAATTTTGAAAATGACCAATGACAAGATAAGTGAAATTACGAGTTCCGTATATATTGAAGAGGCAGCTGTCTATGATGTCAAAAAGCCCAGCGTTTAATTTAGCTTTGGGAATGGTTGTATAAAGTGCCGAAAAGTCGTACGTTTTGATGTTATTGATTTTGGTGTTATTTTGTGATAATCATTTGGCATGTTCAGCCGCACTGGTGCCCATCTCTTTATGCTTTAATCATATTTTTTTTTTTAAAAATCTTCCAATGATATACTTTTACATGCAAATAAAGTTTTACAGTATGATTATGTATGCTATATGGATGGACCTTCTGTAAATATCTAGTGCTAAATATCTCCTGTACTAAATGGGTTTTGAAGCTTATATAATTAACGGTGTCTTTCCTGAAGCTGAAGTACATGATTAATCAACGATAATTAGTTTATAAATCATATACATGTATATGTCCGAACGCTTCTTGATGAAGAAGATGGTTCACAGTGAGGTCAATTTCTATGAAAATTATTCAAAATAAAATTGTTGGCATGTGTCACTAAAAAATTATTTTCAAAATAGATAGCTATAATAAATAATTTATTCTAAAAATATATAAGTGAATGATACAAAGTCGTCCTCGGTACTTGGTTATGTTTGATCAAATTCTTTTGTTAGATTGGTGTCGACGAAAAAAAATATTTCTCTGAAATAATGAGAAAAAGTTGAAAAAGAAGAATCTATAAATTGACATAAAACATTATATGTAATTTGAACATATTTTATTGTAATAAATTTAAACAAATGGAATTGGGCACAACTTATATATGTGGCTTACAAGACAAGATTTGGTGATCACCAATAAACAATAATTTAAATATGAAATACTAAGTGTTATTTACAATAATAAATTTTGTAAAACGATTTCGAAAATATTCAGATTTTTCCCCCACATGTTTGGGGTTATACATTCATTCGAAAAAAAAATAGTTATCTGAAAAATGATTACAATTGACAGATTAGGACAATGAATTGAATATTTTATTTTCATATGTAAACATTGTCCTTTTTATGAATCAGAAGACAGATGCTTTAGAATGATCTATCAAAGGTTAGAATATATATTAGAATACAACTTTTTTGCCAAGACAACACATTACAAAAAGGAATGTTTGTTCGTCCACATATCTCCTCAATACAAAATGTTTACAATGTAAGTATGCTTGGATGAAGTACTTTTTTATGATTATCGGACACTTATTTTGTTATATTTACTATATTCATTTTAATGTCTGTAAGGTGCGTGTGATCACTAGATGTGTTTTTATGCGTCAGCAATATAAGATTATTATTATATGTTTATTTCATTGACAGATGATTATTTCTAGCTTTGATAACAACAAATGATAACTCTATGTAGCGAAAACATTCAACTGCGATGTTCTAAGTAAAAAATTATTAATTTAGGACAGAGTAAAAGAGGATATTTTGTGAAGCTGAGGTCATAATTAATCATTTTTGTGGATACATACTTGAATCACATCTTCGATAAAAATGGTGGGTCAACGGGCGGTCATTCTTGATAAACAGTAATGGAATCTGCATATAAAAATTAGCAGGTAAGAGCACAAAATTCATTAACTTTTGGAGAAAATATAGCCCATCATACAATGTACCTCGCTCTTATTTCTCATCTTAGTTTTGCCCCTTAGTCATGTGTAAGTCATGCTCAAGTACAGTAGAGATGCCTGCACTGTATTATGATGGGAAAATAACATTCCTTACCAAAGTAGAAGCTTTAGAAACAATTTTAAAAAAAAATGGTTCCTTATTTTATCTTGTCAAAATCAACATCCATAGAATGGATGACATATGTACACAATAAAGCTGTTTATATCTATGAGACACTGGCAGATAGAGGGAAATATTTCAAAACAAATGAAAATATACAGATTAAATTCTTTATCGGGAAAAGAACAAAAATGCTTTAGTAAATGAAGAATGTATAAGGCACACAGGACATTAATTTGTCATTGCTATGGGAAGTATGACAACGGATCAGTTATCAGCATACACTGGTAAGTACTTAACATAATTTTTTTTCTCAGGAAACAAAAATATTGATTTTACGCATGCCCTTATGAAGATTCAATTCTCATTCTCGATTTTCAGTGGCATCTTTCCTTTTCAAAAACCATTTTAATGTCTCTAGCCCTTTTTAATACGGAAAAAAAGAAACTGCAATGGGCAGAACTGAGGTACGGATTGAAATGTCTGGCACATATATAAAGTATTGTCGAAGAATCCATGCAGGTTGAATTTGTATGCTAGTGTTGAAGTATTTAATATTACTAAACTCCCACATTCAGTACATATAACAAAATTAAATAATTTTAAATAACAATAGGTAGTCCCCTGAATTTATGCTGTATGAAGTGTATATGCTCGATGCTTAATGATTTTATATTATTTGACAACATAGTGAACTTGCCAATATTGTTGATATGATTAATTGCGAAAGCAAACCTTTTTTATGCCCCCGTATCGAAGATTCGGGGGTATATAGTTTTTGCCCTGATCGTCCGTCTGTCTGTCCAGTTGTCTGTTTGTTTGTCCGCAAAAACTTTAACATAGCCCATAACTTTTGATTGTTTGGAGCTTTGGCTTTCATATTTCACGTGTGTATTCCTTGTGACAAGAC